GGGGTCGGGCGGGGCCCTGGGAGCGGCGGGCCTCCGCTTCAAATGCTTCGCAAGAGGGCTCGGCCGTGGCACCTAGCCACAGTGGTCTGAGGCCGTTGTTCAGTCCAACCTCCTGCCCGCACACACACACACACACACACTATCACACACACACACACACGCACACACACTCACACTCACACTCACACTTACTCACACACACACTTACATACGCGCGCGCCCCCACCCCCAGGGCTCTGCTGCTGAAGGAGGCACTGGAGGACGTGTGCAAGGACAAGAGGCAGAGGTGGGGCATGAGGGGCCGTTGGCGGCAGCACTGACTGCAGCGACAGGAATTGAACAGATGATGATCACGCGGTGCAATCAATGCGATTCTGACGGTCTCGATCGCACCCCCCTTATCCTGGCTGACAAATCATGCTGGGGCCGTCGGACCACTTAGCCGCGCCCCTCGAAATTACGCACGTGCTGCCGCTGGCCCCGCCCTCCCCTTGTGCCCCAAGGTACGAGGTCTGGCGGCGCCGCGTGCTGGGCGGCCCGCGTGTCGGGCGGCGGCTGCGCGCGTTCATCGCCTCCACCGTGGTCCCCGTGGCGCTCGCGCTGTGGTTCGCGCATGTGGGTGGCGGGCCGGCGCGGCGCACGCGGGGCGGGCGGCTGGGCGCTTGGCAGTCGAGCGCAGCACGCCGGCGCCTGTGCGGGCAGCCATGCAGATGCTTTTGCGCGGGGTCCTGATCTCAATATCGGCAGCGAGCGCAGCCATTGCGTCCGCCCCGATCGTCTTGGGCCAGGGCGGGTGACTCCTGGCAGCTCCCTCCCGCCCCTTTCCCCTGATCTTCTTTCCGAGCCGCTCGTCCAAACCCATCATCCAAGCAGAGCCCACACACGGCCACGCGGCTCACCTCACCCGTGCTCGCGACGTGCCGCCCCGTTACCACCTTCCCGGCTGGATTTTCGCAGAACGGCTTTGACGTGGAGAAGACCAAGGGCCAGGTCAAGTCGGCCGCCCGCCACGTGCGCGCGTCAGTCGGCGGCGCCTTTGGCGGCGGCAAGCGCGGCGGCGACGGCGGCAGCAGTGGGGCGCAGGCGAAGGGCGGGAAGGAGAGGGGCGTGGCGCCGGCTGCGGCGCCGCCGCCGCCTGAGCCCGCCCCGCTGGTGGTGGTGGTTGAGCCGCCACCGCCGCCGCCGCAAAAGAAGGGCTGGTTTGGCTTCTGATGGCTCTCATTTTGTATCACATCAGCGTGGTGCCGGGGCCCACATCCCATCCCAACCACGCTTGCCGCCGCTTTTCGTCTCGCACCCTGCCCCTGCATGCCTCAGCGACCGCCCCTCCTTTGGTCAGCGCAAACGCCTTTTCACGCGCCCCGCCGCACCCGCCAGCGCTGCGCCCACGATAACACGCTGCCTCCTCTCTCGCCCAGCGGCGACGCGTGGCCGTCGCCGCGGCTGGCCCTACCTGGGGGTGCACAGACCGCGAAGCGGCAGGGAGCCGGCCCTCCGCTTGGCAGGGGCATCACACTTCCAACCCCACTTCCCTGCATCGTATATTTTTATTTATGCAAACAACACAAACAGCTGGATCGAGAGCAAGCCTTGAAGTCGCCGGAGGGCCCCGCAGCCGCCCCTGATTGATGCCTGGGGTGACCAATTCTGCGCAGCGCTGGACTGTATAGCGCCACCCGCATGCCGTGCCTTGTACACGTTTTGCTTGTTGCTTGCCTGCCTGCCCTGCACCGTGCTTTTCATGTGCGGCATGTCGGTGTCTCTTTTGTGCCATGGTACATGTGTAGATAGGCTGAAGTGTCAACACTTGGCGGTCAGGCTCAATGCTGTACGGCATGAGGAAGCGGCAGTCTGACGACCCCCCCAGCCCACGGTTCACTCTTTTGACCAGACTCATTTTGACCAGACCCACGGGCCTGCAGGCAGGGCGATTACACATGTGCAGCCGCAGGCCCGGGGGCGCTCACAGCCGCACCCCGAACGCCTGCGCCAGCGTCTCGCCGCGCTGCCGCATGCCCACGTGTGACAGCAACGCCCCCAGCCGCCGCGCGAGCGCCGCGCGGTCGGGCCCGCCGCCGCCTTGCTGCTGCTGCTGCTGCTGCTGCTGCTGCTGCTGCAAGTGGTCTGCGCGCTGCGACTCCAGTGTGCGCGCGAGCGCCTGCAGCAGGTCAAGCAGCGGCCCCGCCTCTGGCGGCGCGCCCTCCCTGAACCACGCCGCCGGCAGCGGCAGCACCGCCGCCTCTGCCCGCGCCACAGCCATCACCAGGCCGCCCGCGCCGCCCGACGCGGCCGCGGCGCGCGCCTGCGGCGCCAGCGAGCGCGCGGCGAGCGTCTGGAGGCAGAGGCGCAGCAGCAGCTGCTGGCTGAGCAGCTCCCGGAAGGCGGCCGCGCCGCGCAGCAGGCGCGCGGCGCGGCGGAAGCGCAGGTGCAGGACGGCCTGCGAGGGGTCGGGCAGTTGGACGGCCAAGTGCAGGCGGGGTTTTGACCAGCCGGGGTGGCGGGAGGGAGAGGCACAAGGGGGGCGGTGCACCTGCATGCAGCAGTGGGAGGAGACCAGCGAGTGCACGCAGCCGCGGCGCCGCAGCACCCAGCGCGGGGGCCGCGCACCTTTGCGAGCGGCGCCGCGTCCGCCGCCGCCGCCGGCCACGCCGGCACGGTGGCCGCCGCGGCGGCCGCCTCCAGCGTCGCCGTGATGGATTCCAGCAGGCGCGCCATGCCCTCGGTGTCTGCGGGCACGTAGACAAACAGGTCAGCGGCCAGCGCTGCGACCGCGGCGCTCTGGCGGGGGTCGCACGGGTCCCAGCAGCTGCGGGGATGCAGAGGGTGGCGGTGTTTTTGTGTGTGTGTGTGTGTGTGTGTGTGTGTGTGTGTGTGTGTGTGTGTTTGTGTGTGTGTGTGTGTGTATCAGCTTGTTTGTGTGTGTTGAAGGGTACTTGTTGCAAGGAGGAGCGGCTCGTGGGTGCGTCACCATGGGAGAGCGACGGGGAAGACACCAAAAAAGCAATGGGGGCGTTGGACACCGCCTTGCGCGCCGACCCAGATCGATGTGCTAATGCAACCCTTCACTGCTGCTCTCGCGTCATGGCGACGAAAGCGGGGCGGCCGACAGTGGCCACAAGCCTTCACACGCGTGCGTTCACCTGAGTGCCGCCCACCCGAGTACCAACCACCCACCCGAACACCTAACCGCCCACCCAACTGCCGCGCCGCGACCCCAGCGCTGACCGCGGCAGCCCCGGCCTCCCGCCGGCCCGCAGCTGTTGACCTTGCCGCACCCGGCCCACTAACCCCGCCCGGCCCTGCGTACCTCTCCACCATGGCGATTGCCTGCGGCAGCACCAGGCTCTCCACCAGCTGCGGCACCAGGTTGGCGTCGGGGTCGTCCTCCGCCATGGAGGCCGGGTCGCCGCCGGGGGCAATGCCGTAGTCAAACAGGGCGCGGTACCAATCGTGGCCGTCGAAGCCTGTTGATC